CGATGAAAAAAAAAGTCCGGGGATCGAGCGCGAGACCGAGCGCGCATAAAAACTCGACGTGCGTCGAGATTCGATTAGTGCAACAGGGGCACAATTGCACCGAGGGAACGAACGCGAAGAAAAAAAAAAGTCCGGGGATCGAGCGCGCATAAGTGAAAATTCTACGTGCGTCGAGATTCGATTAGTGAAATAGGGGCACAATTGCACCGAGGGAACGAACACGATGAAAAAAAAAGTCCGGGGATCGAGCGCGAGACCGAGACCGAGCGCGCATAAGTAAAAATTCTGCGTGCGTCGAGATTCGATTAGTGCAATAGGGGCACAATTGCACCGAGGGAACGAACACGAAGAAAAAAAAAGTCCGGGGATCGAGCGCGAGACCGAGAGCGAGCGCGCATAAGTAAAAATTCTACGTGCGTCGAGATTCGATTAGTGCAACAGGGGCACAATTGCACCCAGGGAACGAACACGAAGAAAAAAAAAAGTCCGGGGATCGAGCGCGAGACCGAGAGCGAGCGCGCATAAGTAAAAATTCTACGTGCGTCGAGATTCGATTAGTGCAACAGGGGCACAATTGCACCCAGGGAACGATCACGAAGAAAAAAAGCCCGGGGATCGAGACCGAGACGAGAGCGTACGGTAAAAACTCGACGTGCGTCGAGATTCGATTAGTGCAACAGGGGCACAATTGCACTCAGGGAACGAACACGAAGAAAAAAAAGCCCGGGGACCGAGACCGAGAGCGTACGGTAAAAACTCGACGTGCGTCGAGATTCGATTAGTGCAACAGGGGCACAATTGCACCGAGGGAACGAACACGAAGAAAAAAAAGCCCGGGGACCGAGACCGAGAGCGTACGGTAAAAACTCGACGTGCGTCGAGATTCGATTAGTGCAACAGGGGCACAATTGCACCCAGGGAACGATTTTCGAAAAAAAAAAAAAAAATGGTTTTGAAATAAATTTATGAGGTCGATATTTATAAATATATGTATTTTAATTATTTTTAAATTCGGCACTTTAATATAAAATTAAATTATGCTCATTTAAAAACAAAAAACAAAACTTGGCTATATAACGCCGTGCTAACATTTATAAAATTTTTTTTTGAGACAAAGTTTTTGTTTTAAAAGCCCAATAACAAAAAGAAATTTAAAATAAATTATATATAAAATTATTTAATTTATAAATTTTTATTTTATTTAAAATTTAATTTAGTTTTTATTAAAAAAATATACAATCAATAATTTTTTATTTACTTTATTATTAAGCGTCGATGAGTACATAAAATTAGAAAACACGTTCGTAGCAAGAACGCATCAGAAATAATTAAAAACACTTTCCATTAAGAGACCTTTTAATTAAAATTTATTTAACGGTCACTTTAAACTGAATTTTCAAATTATCTTGTAAGAGCGCTTTGAGTTTGTGCAACTCTTTCTAATTTTTCAAAATATTTACGGGCATTTTTAATGTTTATCAAAGTAGCGGCTGATGCTAAAATGAAAAAATAAATTAATTAAGTAACTTGTAAAAAAAAAACTTTTTTTTTTTTAAATAATAATAATAATAATAATAATAATAATAATAATAATAAAGATTTTCAATAAAACTAACGTATTCCAGGATCAGACATAATAACCATTACATATGTGTTGGATGTGAAAACGTCAATGAAACAAGCAAAGTTGCTGTTTCTTACCTCCATGCTGTGAAACTGAGCGGCAAGACGACTGAAATTAAAATTAAACATTTTTTTTTTTTTTTTCTTAAAAAAAAACTAACTTAGTAAAATATTTAAGTATATATATATATATATATATATTTCTCTTACCTGCAACTCAATTTAAATTGTTTAATTATGTTTGAAACTTTTTCAAACCTGTGAACATCTCTGTGTTCCCTTCGTTCACAATGAGAAATGACAAGAAACGTAGCTTTTTCAAAGAGTAAAACTTCATCTGCATCTATTATATTAGCAAATTCATTTAAACTTTGCTCTAATTCTTGAACGTTTGGAATCAATTTATAAACAATATTTGACCAAGCCTAAAAAAAATTATTCTAACTAAATCACAACTGTCTAAAGTATTTTTAATTAAACAAAAAAGTTAAAAAAATGATTGATTTTGCATATAAATAATAATTGATATTTGAAAATTCTGTAACCGTGGTTTAACTAAAAAAAAATAAACTATTTAAAAATCATTGAAAAATAATTAATGAATTAATATATTGTTAATAGTTGTTTTGAGCTTTTTATAGCAAGTGTGAAAAAAAAGTAAACAAAGAACTTACAAAAATTAAATATAAAATTTTTTTACTATAAAAATAATATTTTTTGGGCGGAACGTGTGTAAAAACTTTTGAATTTTAGAAAACATAAAATTATTATTGGGTCGGTATAATAAATTCTATTAGTTTATCTTTTTTTCCAAGTGTCACACGCTTTTCCTTTTATTTTCATATAAAAATTAAAATTATTTTCTTATTTATTTAAAAAAAAATTTTTGTCCTTACTCTGTAGAGTGTTTCGTCCCATATGGAAGTCCTAAAGCAAGTACATTGCAAAGGCTTTGATAGTCTTTTCAGATCTTCATCACGTTCCCTAAATATCTATAATAAAATAAAAATATGGTATTTTTTATTTTTAATTAATTTATAGCTTTTTCAAGGTTTACCTTTTATTAAAAGAAATTTCAAAGATAACCATACACATTCACACATGTATATTTTACCGATTGAAAAAAAAAAAAAAAATAGAAAAATTGATTTGTTTTTTTTTTTTTTGTACCCCTTACAATTTGTAATACTTTTATATTGAGCGCCTAGAAAATGTTTAACTTGACAATTAAGTAAAATTTAACAACATATATATATATATATTGGAAATTGTAAACATTGTATTTTTCAAATTTTTTGAGTTTAATGTTTCTCTTATAATGTAAATATATATATATTAGAATATTACATATACACAGATATCTTTTTTAATGATATTATTTTTTTAAGAGAGAGAAAAAAAAATTCAATAATAATCAGTAAATAGTAAAGTCGAAATAGAAAATATAAAAAATGGTAATGAAAATTCTTACAATATCACGTTGATCCTCTTGAACTAAATCCATTTTGTGTATTAGGCAAAATACTTTAGCTTCAGGTGAATTCTGTAAAATTGCTTCTAAACAACTTTGATAGTAATGCATATCTTTGTCTAATTCCCTGCTTTCTACATCAAAAACATAAATAAGAACTTCGACATTTTTAAATATGTTATCCCTTTGACTGGCAAAAAAATTTTCCATAAATGCCTCTTGACTAAAATTGAAAATAAAAATTATGACTAACAACCACATAAAATTTTATCCCAAAATAAAAGAAACAGCAAAAATTTACTTTAAACTCATTTCAACAACATATTTCAAATGTTTTTCATGTGAAGATATCAATTTGTTAAAAGCGAATTTTCAATCACAACATAAGCATTAAAAAAATGTGTTACGATAAACACATTTTAAACTATGTCAAAATGAGAACATTCAACAAAAATAAAGAAATTTAAATTTTCTCGCTGATTATGTTAGAATCTCATGTGCGATAACTTTTTAATAAAAATTATTTAAAATTTTTAATGAAATTTAAAATTCAGAACATGACTAGGCATATAGGTAAAATTACATACCCACCACAATCCCACAAATTTAATACTAAATTTCCTAAAAACCTAACATGGGAATGTTCAACATCGATTGTTGCTCCTAACCTTCTAGTATCCCTGGCAATATAATTAGCAAATATAATGGATCTCATACTAGTTTTACCTGAGCCACTTTTCCCCATTAAAAGAACCTGAAAGTAAAAAACAAAAATATATGCCATGTAAAACTTTACAACATTTTTAAAATATTTATTTAAAAAGTATGATGATAAATTTTTTTTTAACCGCATAAATAAAAATTTCATTTAAAAAAAAAAAATATTAAATAAAAATAACATTCGAATTTTTTTTAATAACTTCACCACCAATTACTATTATTATTATTATTTTTTTTTTTTTTTTGTATACACACTTTTAATTAAAAGAAAAAATGTCATTTTTGAAATGTAAATCAAATAATTTTTTTTTTTTTTTATTCGATTTAAAATAGGAAAAATTTTGGTAATTTTAATTACCTTTTTTTTCATCTTGTACTGCTTTCGGTTACTACAATATCAGATTAAAAAAAAAAAAAAAAAAAATTAGTAAACTATTCGTAGAATCTAAAAATGGTCATAGAAAACGTAAGATACGGATTGAATACCAACTCAAGAAAACTAACCGTAAACAATCATTTTGTTTTTAAATGTCGCAACGCGACATTTTTTTTAAAATCACTTTGAGATTATTATTTTTTTTTTTTTTTCCCCTTTCATTTTATTGAGAGTATAATTATTAAATTATCAATATTTTTAGATTATGCATTTAAAAAAAAAAAAAAAAAAACAACATGAAAGTAAAAACGTCATAATTTAATAATTTTTTTTGATAAACAATACTTAATTTAACTTCATAATGCAATTGTTTGAAAACTTATTTACTATTATTACCGACAACATGGAGGCATGCACTTTTAGTATAGAGCTAATATGCAACGTTCGCTTTTGAGAATATTTCTATAGATTTTAAGAAAAGTTTAATTCTAACGCTTTGAACGTAACATTGGATTAAATTGTGTTAAAGTGCTTTATTTTATTTTAGTTCTTAAATTTTAGGTAAAACTTTTTTTTCCCAGTATAATCATGTTAGGTAATTCAAAAAATATACGTCATTCGAAAGAAAACCTTTTAGGTTTTTCCGCCTTGAACTGGTAATAATTTCAATCTTTTTTTTTTTTAACAAAAAAAAAAAAAAAATCAAATTTTATTTTATTTTATAGTTTAACAATGTTTCAGAGTCAAAGTTAAAAAAATCTGATTGTAACAAAGGGCGTGGATTTTTTTTGAATGAACTAAGTTTTATTATCGCTATGTCGGATGAAGACGATAAACCTCCTGCTCCTCCTGTACGGTTGACCAGTAATAGGTAATTGTTCATTCTTATTATTATTATTTTTTCTTTCTAGACTTAAGTCATTTGGTTCACTGGCAAATTAGTTTGTATTATTATTATTATTATTATTATTATTTTTTCTTAATACTCTGTTTAAACAGAGTGCTATTTTACGTGAAAGTTGACCAGAAATTTAAAACATTATTATTGAGATTCATTGTTAATCGTAGCCACATTAAATTTTTAATAATTAAAAATCCAGGTAATTTTTTTTTTTACATTTTTTCTTTGATACTACAATTTTGTTTTCTCAAGTTATTTATATTCGTAATGAAGTCTTAAAAAATGTTAATAATAATATAAATCTTCAATAATTTTTCAATGAAAAATTATATAAATGTGATGATGATATAAGATAAAAGTATTAAATGTTTATATTAAGCAAAAGGTTTACATATTATTACAAAAATAATTAATTATTAAAATTTACCATTTGTGTATATTTTGTAATGACTCCTTTGTTTTCTACATATTAATTTTTTTTAAAAAAATGATGATCACCAAAACTGAAAATATGTTTGATTTTTATTAAAATTTTCAGGGGAGATATGCCTCCTACCTTACCTGTTGATAGGCCACTACCAAAAGAGCCAGAATCCGAATCGAGTAAAAAGAAAGTTCTTAAAAACAAAATAAAAGTGAAAAGCAAAGAGGATAAGCCTAATATATCTTATCCTACAAATTTTGAGCACACTGTACATGTTGGTTTCGATGCAGTCACAGGAGAATTTACTGTAAGTACCCAAATCAACTAAATTTTTTTTTTTTTTTTTTTTTTTGCTTCTTCTCCTTCTTCAAGACAAAGAAGGTTACTTTGACTTTGTTTTACCAATTTCTATTACTTAAAAGAATAATTAATTATTCTACATTGCTAAATAACAAAGTGATTGATTTACATTGTAAATAATTTACCATCTTACATTTACTATTAAACTTTTCTACAGTTATAGAAATGGCAAACAAAAAAAAAAAATGGTTCCTGAAAAAATATGCAAGAGCCAAGATGGAAAATTTTTAGTTGAATTTTTAAAATGAAATTTTTTTCACTGATAAATGCAAGCAGTTTAATGAAATCCCAGAGAAATGTATTTTTTTTTTAGAAAAAACTAACTAAGACTATGTTCTGGATTTGTCTCAAAGTTAAAATTATGTCTTTTCTGTAAATGATAAATGACATTGATAATGAATATTAATAATATATTTCTTCCGACATTTCAATGAAATATTTATATAGTCAGTGATTAGATATAACATTACAGTGTTTCACATATAAAAATAATTATAGATTTATTTTAAAATTTAATATAATTCAAATATTAAGCAACCCTTTTGAATTAATTACTCTCTAACAATTATGTGTTGATTATATGAAAACTACCACTTACAAACTTTCTGACAATTTATATAAAAAATTACCTTATTTACACAAATACACACACACACACACACATATATATATTTGTATATACATAGGTTTTTTTTCTTTTTTCTGTCAAAAATTCATTTGTTGAAATAATTTCTTATGCTTATAAAAAAATTTAATTAACTTATACAAGTTTAATTTTTATCTGTGTCACGATTGTTTTTTTTATTTCAAGCTGCCGTTAAAAGTAAGTAAAACCTTCTTAATGTATCTATGTTTTTTTTTTTTTTTAAATTTCGTATATACTTAAAAATTAGTAATAAAATATAGAAAAACTTTTGAAAACATGCGAAACATTTAAAATTTAAACTATTTTTTTTTTTTGTGGCAAAAACAAATAGAAACATTTAGACAAGATACAAATACATAGTTTCATTATTAATTGAAAACTACTATTGGTATTTTTTTGCACTGATTTAAAAATTTAATAATGTCATTTTAATATTCATAATTTTACCGTAATTATAGCCAATGATTTTATTTATGAGTAAAAATATAAATTAAAAAACAAAGAAAATAAAAAATCCCGTGATTTTTTTTTTAGCAGAGAGAGAGAGAGAAAAGACCGTAACTGTAAATATACTTTAATACAGTTAACGCATTTTTTATCGAGCCCCGTTCCGATGGTTCGACAAGAAAAAAAAAAAATAATAATAATAATAATAATAATAATAATAAAATGAAATATTGTCACTTTTATTCGTTTATGTAGGGTATGCCAGAGCAATGGGCAGAACTCCTAATGTCATCAAATATTAGCAAGCAGGAACAAAAAAAAAATCCTCAAGCTGTTTTAGATGTGCTCAATTGGTACGATAATTCTACTAAGGAGAGTAAAAGCTCCAAGTTTATGACCACAACTAAAATGTGCGGTAAGATAAAAAATATAATTTATTTAAAAATAAATAATTGAAATTATTTAATGAAAAACTCATTATATGAAAATTAAATTACAAACCATTATTTATTTATTATTATCATTATTTTTTTTTTTTTTTCATCGTTCAAAATACTGCAAAACTTTTCGCTGTCATTATCGTACAAAAACTTTTTGTTTAAAAAACTTTATTTTTCAAGTATTTGTTTAAGTGAGTAAAATTAATTTTAACAAAAAATTGTTTTAAGAACCCTTTTCATTATTTTTCTACTGCTTTTTTTTTTTTTTTAATAAGTGTTTCTCATTCATATTTTCTTATTTGTCGAGTTTGAATCCATTTGAATTTTTTTTTTTTTTTAAATAAATTTTTAAAACTTGATTTTTTACTCGACGAACTCGTAATAAAAATTGTGTCAATTTATTTCTAATAAAAATAAATAAAATATATATATATATATATATATATATATATGTGTGTAAAATTAAATCTTTATTAACTTAATAATTAATTAAATAGTTGGAGCAGAATTATCTCCTAGGCCAAGCCTGCGTCAGCACGCTACTAATTCAAACTCCAGTCAGAGCCAACATAGTTTATCACATCCGTCTAGCAGTTCTCCTAGTTCTACTACTCCCGACACGGAGGCTGCTACCACTACATCTTCTGACCATGAAGAAGAAATTGCTCCTCCGCCTGTGGCCGCTAGACCTGAGCGAACGAAATCAATTGTGAGTCAAAGAAACAAACACTTTTTTTTTTTTTTTTATTAATTTATTATTATTATTATTTATTGTATGCATAAAAATTATATACGATAAGGTAACCGTGTGAAATTATTTTTTGCTTTGGATTTCAGTACACGAAGCCACTGGATGAAGATCATGCCATAATTCAAGGAACGTTAAATAAAACAACCACTGCGTTGAACGGTATAACAACCCCTCAAGTATTAGACAAAAATAAAAATCACAATCCACCAATTGTAAATAATGGCAATAACCCTAATCAAAATCAACTGGAAACTAGAACAAACAGTGACAACAAACAAAGGAAAACAAGAATGCCGGGCGAAGGAATTTTAGACAAGCTCAGAACTATTGTTTCTGTTGGAGATCCCAATAGGAAATATACAAAAATGGAAAAAATAGGCCAAGGGTAAGTTGCTCACGCTTTTTTTCCTGTCAACGTTTAGAAATTATTTTTAAATAATTTGCTATTAATAAAAAATAAATAATATAATAATTATTTAATGAACGAAATTTAACTGCAAAATAATTTTTCAATTTAATCATGCAAATTTTAACATAACAAATCGCGTGTTAGAGAATTCATAAAATAACGTGAAAGTAATCGAAAAAAAATTTATTTGAAAATTAAATTGTGTACCGTTATAAATTTTGAATTTCTGCTGGGCATTTATAATAAGAAAATTTTTTCTTTTTAAATTGTTTGCGTAACTATCGTTGTTAAGTGATTTTTATGGTAAAACATTTTACGAGCATTAGTAGTAGTTGCCGGCATTATTAATAAAGAGAATTTAACATGTTTAAAGGTACTGAAAAAAAAAAAAAAGGTTTTGTCTTGTCGTAATCATGAATATAAAGTAAAAAAAATTTACCGGAAAAAAGAACAATGTTTAATAATTGAGGCACAGTCAAAAAAACGAAAATCATTCGATTTAATGCGTTATTTAAAAACATTTTTTGTAGTTTTAGAATTGCAGTAGCAAATATTAGTTATAAATTACATAATGATTTAAAAAATAATACTGTAATGATAAAAAATTTTTCGGTTGAAACAAAAAAAAAAAAAAAAAAAAAAAAAACCCCGGTGAAAAAGTTGAAATCGCAAGAGATAAAAAACAATAATAATATAATTTTTTTAAATTTTGTATATAAATTTGTGGAATAATTTTATTTTTTATTTTTTTATTTTTTTTTACCTTTCCGCGAATGTATTAAATCTATAATTTTCTTTTTTTTATATTATTTTCACATTAGCGCTAGTGGAACAGTATATACTGCAATAGAAACATCTACAGGAACGGAAGTGGCCATAAAACAAATGGATTTGACTCAGCAGCCTAGGCAAGAATTAATAATTAATGAAATATTGGTAATGAGAGAAAACAAACATCAAAATGTAGTTAATTATTTAGATAGCTACCTCGTTGGAGAAGAGCTATGGGTAAGTTGTTTTTTATCAATTCACATAATTACAATTTATTTTAATATATATATATATATATATATATATATATATTATTTAAATATAAATTTTTTAGCTTTTTCAAAGTGGAGCATTTTAT